GTTAAAATATATGTTTAACAAATAAAGTCTCATGTTACAACTGATCAGGGATCCCTTTAAGTTTAAGTTTTAAGACAAAATTTCCAAACTCACTTTACCAATTAAGTAATAAAAAAAGTGATTTTTAGTTCTAACTGACTTACAGGAGAAAAGTTTGCAAATACTAATACTGTTAAGCACAACCTAAATATTATTATTAGTTTTATCTAAAAACAGTATTAAAAAAAACTAATGACTAAATAAATAAAAATGCGCTAAGAATATCTTTACCAGTCTTCATGTATTTGTTATGGTCTAGACATTTTATCTAGTCTACACAGATTTGCTCAAAAACGAATGTGTAATTAACATGCAAAGATGCTACAAACAAAGCAGGAGAGTAAAACAGATTTGCCTAATTTAGATTCTTAACCATTTCTGAAACTTTAGGACACAAACTTGTAAATTTAAAATAATACTACACACAAAGTGAGTCATTAGAATTCACACAAAATTATGATGCACACACAGCTATCCTCCATGTGGCACAATTATGTACAGAACCGTGGAGAGCCTAAACTATCTGTTTTCTATCACAGTGTCAGTCTGTATGTTAAACGTGTCTAAACTTCATTACGCAACACRACAAAGAACCTAAACACAGAATCTAACCAATCAGGACAATCTGACCAACAACAATCTAAAATGTCCTGAATCACTTTGTCCCATCAAAAAACAGGAACCTAAATACTTGGGATACATTTACTTAAGAGTGTTTGTGCTTGTTTAAAACCTATGGATGGTGAAGTTTATGATTTTGTCACTTGCAGCCAATTTTATCCAGTGAAAGCTGATTACTGCAAACATTTTTGTGCCTAAAACTTTTGCACAGAACTGTACATAATGTAAGTAGGTGGGCAGGTGCACTGAGGCGTACCCGTATGAGTCAGGCTGTGTCTCGCCAGGTGGTAACGCTGAACGAACCTCATGTCACAAATGGTACAAGCAAAAGGTTTCACACCTAAACGCAGAGCATCAATACATTCATTTTAGGACTTTTGATTCACAATCCATCAACCAGAAATGTCTTCAAAAATTTCTTTTTACAATTGATGGGTTGTTAACCATTTTTTATTTGATAAAACTTTCATAGTCGTTACTTTAAAATAATGCATACTGTTTTTTTCTGAATGCAATTATGTTTTTTTCTCAAATTATGACTCCAAATCTAAACACATCTCATGAGCTGATGATATCACTGCTATATGTCAGAACTTGTTTTAGTTTATTTTTTACACACAAAGCACTGAAGCACGAAAAAGTGAAATATATCTCTTAGTTTACATAAAAAGCCTCAGAGAAGTGAGATTAAAGCTGCAACAATGTAAGAACAGGCTGATTTCAGTGACATGGGTAAGGTGGGCGGACGCATACCCATATGAGTGAGGCTGTGTCTCGCCAGGTGGTAGCGCTGAAAAAACCTCTTGTCACACATGGTGCAAGCATAAGGTTTCACACCTAAATGCAAAGTAGTATTAATATATCACTTTTTACCCAGTTCCAGTCTGTAACAAAAATTCCTAAATTATTGATTAACCACACATTGGCCAAGTCATGCAAAATAAAACAGTGTCAAATGTTACCGTTATACTAGTTGGCAGTAGGAAAAATAAAAAACACCTAACCCCTTAACCTGCTACACAGATGGCAGAAATTACTTTTTCCACATTGTTTCAACAGTAAGTCAGATCTTTTGAAGTGGGGTTCTGTGAAGAAGTTGTAAACAATTAATAAATATCTGACCTGTTGTAGTTAAATTTAATCTTTTTTGTGGAGAAGCATACTGTAATTCTGACCAATGAGACAAGTTCGCAGCTGGTAGAAGTGGACTAAACTAAAGTGGACTGCTGCTGTCTTAAAATAACTCCAATCTCAAAAATTACACAGCGCTTCAAGCAAAAAATAAAAATAAATAAATAAAAACCTTTACAGAGTAAATCTTGTATTCCAGGATTATTCTGGCGGGACTTTTTGTGTTCTATGTTGAACGGGAAGTGCTACAGCTAGCTACTGTCACTATTTGCACTAGCAAATTCTCAAAAACTTGAAAGTGACATACAGTATAAAGCTCAGCAGTATTTCACTTTGGCCTTGGTCCCATTCAGACTAGCCTTTAGCTTCCAGTCCAGTCAGAATGAAACTCATTTAAAGAGTCATCTACAACAGGTAAGATAYTGTTTCTAACATTTCCACAAAACACTACCACAACAAACTTTAACGCTTACAGTTTAGAACCACTTTATTCATTTCTGAGTGTCTCATGTTAACAGAACATTAATGATCAGAGGTTTTATAATTACTGCTTCAGTAGTAAGTAGAAAAACACTGACGACTCAACAGGTGATGGAAATCAGCCAATTTTCACCTTAACCAGCAGCTAACTTAACCTCATAAGATAATTTAGTGACAAAAACATAAATATTTTAATTATTTGTTATTTTTCTTAGGCTGTAAATTGCCCCAAATACAATTACAATCAATCTGTAATTTGTTGTATCAGTGCAGTTCAATTTATTTTAAATATAGGGCTTGTAGAAAAAATGTTTGTCTTGAAGAACTCATGATCTAAAATGTGTATGCGTTATAAAAATTTAAAAAAGGCTATAAACTATCGAGTAATCTGGAGCATATTATTTTTTAATTTTAGGAAACAGAGGGGAGAAGGCCAAGGAACCTTTTAGGAAAACAAAACAAACGATCGACTGTGTGCTCAAAATAAAGATTTACAAGGTTTCAACTGAGCCTGAATTTAGACTATTATTTCATAGCTTTCAGTTCATAGAGAAAACTGACAAGAGCTTTACAAAAGAATTAGAATCAGCCCTGAAAACTACAACTGGTGTATTTCAAAAAGGATTTCCAAACACGGAGTTATAAAAATAGTTGTGAATGTTTCAGCAGTGGGATTTTTGAGTTGTTTTTTTATTAAAAGCTATATCTTATCGTAGAAACCTAAATTAAAGTAAGCTATTGTTTGTTAGGTGTTCTTACAGCRATGTTTAGTTACTTTAAGATGCCAGATTTCGTATCATGTAAAATTCTACTCGCACTTAATTTTCCCCCCAAACCTGGTGACGCTCCTGATACTAATGTAACAGTGACCGCGTAACGGTGACCTATAAATTGTGAGAGGGCGAGTGCACTGAGGCGTACCCGTATGAGTGAGGCTGTGTCTCGCCAGGTGGTAACGTTGAAAAAACCTCATGTCACACATGGTACAAGCATAAGGTTTCACACCTAAACGCAGAGCATGAGGGTATTATATTCAAACTTATGGAGTATTCTGTGTTTACAATCCATCAATAGGCAATAAACTAACTACAAGATAAGTGAAATTGATGGGTTGTTAACCACAAATAGAACTGATCAAATTTGTTTTCTTTTTCAAAAACATCCAGTTCAATTTTAGAAAACATCAACATCTATAAATCAATTTAATCCACAATTTAACACATCACATGAGCTGATGTTTGAGTCCTGTATTATGTTTAGTTTAAATGTTCCACTTCTTTTGAATATAGCGTATGACTCAAGATGCTTCGTCTAGCCAGTGTGAGAAATAATGAGTAACTACCACAGACTGCTGAACTCCATGTTAAACAAAATGAAAATACAGTTTGATCTTTGTGACATGGGTAAGGTGGGCGGACGCATACCCATATGAGTGAGGTTGTGTCTCGCCAGGTGGTAGCGCTGAAAAAACCTCTTGTCACACATGGTGCAAGCATAAGGTTTCACACCTAAATGCAAAGTAACAATATTATATTACTTTGCCTCACTTTGCAGTGTTTAATTTAGAAATAAATCTTTACACAATTGGTTATTAACCACACAAAAAGGACCAAATTATGCAAAAACACAAAATCTCTTTTTATAATGCCTTTACGTATGATCACAAAACTTTAAAAGATCATCATCAATCATTCTGCTCTTTTTGATTAAAACTAATAAAAAACAAGGACGCCATGTCCAGACTTTAAACTTGGCACRTTCCTCACACCAGTATCTCTCTGGGCTGCGACTGTTGGAGACCCGTTAGAGGACAACTTTTGCAGGAGTCTCTGAAGTGTTTGCAGGTGTTTCTCAATTTCTCTGCGGGAGTCACAGAGGCTCACAGTCTTTTTACGTGAATGATTGTACATCTTTCAAGAAATTTGTGACTTCTTTTTTTGGCCAAAATAATTGTTGCAGGCATCTCGAGACAAAACTGAACCATCCTAATTTAGTTTCATCGTGCTAGAGCAGAAGAGCGTTATTTTGACAACATCTAAGGCTACAACTTTAAACGTCTAGGTCAAACAAATGCCTATATAGAGGGTGTGTCAAAAGTCACAAGACACTCTTATTTTAGAAAGAATAGAAAATGACATATCTGAATGCCCTGGGAAATAAAGGGTGAGGACCAGACCAGAACTTTGCCACCACCTTGAAAGCCACCATCTTGGATCAAGGGCAAGTTTTACAAAGATAGCCCACAGTGCCCATTTCTGGCTGAAGTATTCAGCTAGGTCATCCTCCCTTTTTTCTGATTAAACAGTGTTCAATGACTTCTGACTCACCCTGTATATAAAACCAGTCCAAATTTGCTTATCTACACGTCAAAGGGACAAGTGGGTACAATGTGGCCAGAGCTGAGCAACAAAACCCTGTGCACTGCCTACAGTTGTCTTGCGAGCAGTGCACATGGAAAAGCAGGCCATGATTTTCGAAGCCAAAGTCAGAAGCAACTAAAACTTTGCTCATTTTCTCCCAATTCTGAGTCAGCAACAAGCCTCTAACAGCCACAGCTCAGTTGGATATTGGCTTTAAAACATGAACAGACAAAATTCTGATGCGAGCTAAAAATAAAAGCAGACCTAACACTGAATGTCACGGGCACAGTGCACGGACCCATACCCGTATGAGTGAGGCTGTGTCTCGCCAGGTGGTAACGTTGAAAAAACTTCATGTCACACATGGTGCAAGCATAAGGTTTCACCCCTAAACGCAGAGCATTAAGAGAATTATTTTTGTGTCTCTGCAACATGAAAAAATAATAAATAAAAACAATCAAGCTGTGTCTCGGAATTAAAAAATGCCAATTTGAGCTAAATTGTCGTTTGTGGTTAATAACCAATGTCATACTCTTAACTTACAATGTACAATGTATTGAGAAGGTTTGTTTTAAAATGGGGGGGACTTACACAACACAAGAATTTTGTATGAAATCTAATGAAAATTACACCATCTGAAACTGTGTATGATTAAAGATATACAAGACTACATTTAACCACATTGCAGCATCCTAATTTTGTGACTGGTTTAAGATTGGCAGACGCATACCCATATGAGTGAGGCTGTGTCTCGCCAGGTGGTAGCGCTGAAAAAACCTCTTGTCACACATGGTGCAAGCGTACGGCTTCACCCCTATACACACAAAGTACCAACTTTAGCATGAAAAGAAACTCAACTGCCAAAAATGATCGACGTAAACTTTACTAATGGCTTTAGTAAAGTTTGGCTGCACTTATCAGCGCTTCGTTTGAACTGGAAAATCCAGCATGCTTCCACAATCTGCCATTCCAATTAGAAATTACCATATCCCAAATCAAGACTGACTGATTGTCTTGTGCTTAAGAGTAAACTAGATTATTGAGGAATAAGGCAATTCTGCCACAAGGAAAGCACAAGTGTCTGGTTACAAACAAAAGGGGGTAAAAAAAAAAAAAACGACTAAATGACCATTCAAGCTAATGAGGTCTAATCTCTAGTGGGCCCATTCCAACTAGCACAACAGTTTTTCACATGATGCCAATAAATGCATTAGTGTACATAATTCATCAAACCCTCAAAAGATTTCAAAAACAAATTGATCGTCATCATTTTTGTTACGCTGATAGCAGTAGTTAAGACAATTTTAGGCAGTTGGCAAACAACTGTACAACATACAAGCTTACACAGTGATTGCAACTGTTGTGCTTTAAGAAAAAGAACTGATCTAATAATCAGACAGAACTTAGCTTAGCTGATCATTCAAGCAAAAGAAACATTKATAATGGAAAAATCTGCCATGTAAAAACCAAATTGCAAATAAGTGAATCCCCGTACATCAAATGTGTCCCTAAATATATTTATAACCAAGGATGTTATTTCCTGACCATAACTTTTAATGAGAAATGACACATTGACTAAGATGTTTGAGTAGTCCGATCAGAATTTGCATTTTTTTAAGAAACAGTAAAAATATATCTTTTTCACAACTGATTAAATTCTTCTATCAACTMTTATTGATATTAAAATAAAAAGAACATACATTTCATTAGCATTAGTATTTTAAAATATTGGTATATTCTTGATGCCTGTGCATTACTTATTCAATAAAATTAATTTAACTAAATTGAGGATTAAGGACTTTGTTTCATCATTATCCAGCTCAATAACAATGTCATTTCACAGACAAAGTATAGCGGAAGTAACATGATACACATGGTTATAAAGGCCCACACAGATGCTTCATGGCTAATTAGCAACTGTAATCATAGTGACAAAAAGCTATACAAACTCGAGTTTGAAGCAGCCAGGTAACCAGGTTGTGTGCATGCAGTACATGCATAATTAAAGCCAGGAAATGCACTGGTTGACATTAAAAACTAAATAAATTTTTAAAAAGGACATACCTGTATGAGTAAGGCTGTGTCTCTCCAGCTGGTAACGTTGAATAAATCTCATGTCACACATGGTACAAGCATATGGCTTTACACCTAAACACAAAACAGCAAAATTAGAAGCGTTTCAAGTCACAGTTTTAACACCGATTTAAAACAATAACAAAAGTATTAAAGACAGTTTATGGCATGCTTTAATAATTAAATTATGTTAGACACCTTACACTAAAAAGTAGTCCAAAAAGCTGAAATTGTATTGAATTAAAATGATCAATAGAGTATTAAAAATATAAACTTCTCTAATATTTAGCAATTCATCAAACGAATTACAAAATTTTACATTAAAGATTTTTCAAAATGCAGCAGACAACCATTTCTAACTATTCAAAAATTCTTAAGACACTGCAAATTATAGATCCTTGCAATCAAGATACTTTTTAGAGTAAAGTGTCCTTCATTGAAAACACAGTATAATAGTCAACAACACACATGCAAAAGTACCATTACAAAGTGAAAGAAAACTCAAGGTAACTGAACTGAGAGTCACTTTTTCAGTGGACAGTTTTCCAACAAAACCTACAAACTCTTTTCAACATTTGTCGTAGAGAAAACTTTAACAACGTAATACTTGGGGTTAAGTAGGAGGATGGGCTTATGAATGAAAAATCAAGTTTAAATTTGTTATGGGAAAAGTTTAACAGTGATAAGTGAACAATTGATTCAAGCATACCAGTATGAGTGAGGGTGTGTCTTGCCAAATGGTAACGCTGGAAGAACCTCATGTCACACATGGAGCAAGCGTATGGCTTCACCCCTAAATGTATACAGTACCAAATTTTAGAAAGAAAAAAAATAAGTTCTTGTGAACGGTGTGCACAAAATGTATCACTTTACATACATTATTTATTATAGGGTCCCTTAATAGTTTTCTATTATCTGTTCACTAAAAGTATAAAAAGAATCAAGAAATACTAATCAAACACCTTCACATACTAAAAAAATTAAGTCTACACTTATTTAAAAAAATCACAATCAATACAACTGAGAGGATAAATGATCTGATTTTAGTTTTTGCATTTGAGTCACACAAACAAGAACAAATGTCAGCAAGCCTGACCCTAATATAATAAAAGAGATAAATAAAACTTCTACCCGTGTGAGTGAGTGTGTGTCTTGCCAGGTGGTATCTCTGGAAAAATCTCATGTCACACATAGAGCAAGCATATGGCTTCACCCCTGCACACACAGAGCAAAGTATTTTGTAAAAACCAAGACAATGAACTCAACAGGACACACTCAAATTTATTCAGTCCTGCCAAAAAAATTAAATAAAAAGCAAATTAATACTACTACTTTCTAATCTGTAGACAATCACCTAAAAGAAATATTGCTACAAATTACTTTTCCTAAACCTATCATAACCTAAAGATGTCTTTGAACTCCAATAAGGGATATTTTATTGACAGTAAATTAACAATATAGTGATTAGCTGTCAAAAATACTGCTTTTAAAAGACTGAGSCAAAAACCATGGGTACTCCTCATACGCCTTATGCTTAAGATAACTTTCTGCTTATGAATACTTAATTTTACACACAGTAGACCAATAAAATAGGGTATTTGGGCACTCGTATAGTAAAGGAGGGCAAACCCATACCCGTGTGAGTGAGGCTGTGTCTTGTCAAGTGGTAGCGTTGGAAAAATCTCATATCACACATGGAGCAAGCGTATGGCTTCACCCCTACACACATAAAAATATATAAATATGAACTAGAAACAGAAAAARGGGAGTAAGTTTCAACAAATATACATCAACTCTTTAAGCTTTTTTGATGATTGGGATTAGAAGTAGCATTTTACCCACTTCAATAACTGGCAGTACCTAATGATTGCACAGAAAGAACATTTAACAAAGAAGAAGCTGAYGTTATTTACGAACAGATGTTTCGTTTTGTATGTCAAAATTTCAAGAACAAAAAAAAGTTTATATTTTCTTAATGAAAACATACCTGGATACATCTCTCTACATTTCAAAAATATGCACTTTTGAAGCAGCTACTGTTACTAATCATCCTAATTTGCACTGTTTTGTGTTGAAAAGTTTTAAACATCTCTACTTTATAAACCAGGGTAAGCGGACGCATACCAGTATGAGTGAGGGTGTGTCTTGCCAGATGGTAACGTTGGAAGAACCTCATGTCACACATGGAGCAAGCGTATGGCTTCACCCCTACATACACAAATTTTTTACACATTAGCCACGACGTTTGTTAAGAAGCAAAACTAATTTATGAACACCAGGTCACCGTGACTGGGCACACCTTTCATTTATGAAACCAAATTATTATTATTTTTATTTTCCCCAACTGGTAAAACTGAACTGAAAAATAGAGAGTAATCATTTTTCAAACAAGTTGACGTACATCATAAATCCAAACCACCTAAAGGTTTTAACTAATAATATAAAACCTCAGCAGCTGCACAGCAAGAAAATGTCTGGGACACTTGTCACCTGAAGCAGAAAGCTGAACTAACTCTCTCAAAAAGCCTTTTATTTTATTTAAATACAAGATCTAATAGTTTCACATTAAGCTGAAATGATTTWTCATTGACAGCAAAAAAAACTTAAATGTTTTAATTAAATAAATATATTTCTTTTATCTGTATATAAGGTTTTACTTTAAATTCCTCATAAAAACTTAAAGCAGAAACATCTGCACTAAAGTATCCTAAAGTATCTATTACAAGTGCTGACTGCAGCAATTTGTCTGCGGGTGTATCAGTGTGGACATCGGAGGTGTCTTCCTGTCATGTAAAACTGGCAAAACCTTCGTTTCCAGCCTTTCTGTTGACTCAAATAGAATAGTAAGTTGTTTAAAAAAATATGAAGTTTAACCAAATCTGGGTATGGTAAAAGAACGCATACCCGTATGAGTGAGTCTGTGTCTCTCCAGGTGGTAACGCTGGAAAAACCTCATGTCACACATGGTACAAGCGTACGGCTTCACCCCTACACACACAGAGCATAAAATTATTAGCTATTCAGTCTGTTAAATAAAGATAAAAAGATAAAAATAAATCACGAAATGTAGTGTCTGATGGAATAAACAAGACAGATGCAGTGGRAAAAGTGCTCAATTGCATAATTACTATAAACTATAACTATGTACATATAAACAATGACAAATTAGTTTAGTAACTTTATCCAATTCAATTTGAAAGCATTTTTTTGTTGTTGTGAATACTGAAGCAGCAGTATTTGTTTGGAAGAAAAACAACATTGGAAGCTGACTTACCCACAATGCTTACCTCTTAAAAATATTTTAAAAAGCATGAAAGGGTGACAAAAATATTGAAACTATGCATTGTTTTAACATAAAAAGCCTTGAAGTTTCATTTTATAGTCTTGTTTGTGTCTAAAGATTTTTCAAAACAAACTAAAAACTAATTTTGAAAAAACTAGAAAAAAGTCTCATTTGTTTTTAGCTGGATGTAGTTTCACATTTGCACACTGGAGCCCACAGGTTTCAGCCACTTTTCAAGTCCACTATCAAAAAATCTTTAGTTTCCAGTGCCAACTGAAAGCTCTGTCACGCAACGTCTTAGACAACTTATGCTGATACTTGTAAATTTTCCTCACATGCTGGCATATGCTGAAGATCGCTGCAATACGCTCCAACATGCTACATACAAGTTCGGCATAAGTTACACTGATACAGTGACAAAAATGCTGTCATACGCTTGTATAAGTTATSTAAGGGACAAGTTATAAATAAATATTACTCTTATGTTAATGTGTTAAATTAATTGTCCCTGTCACACTAGATAATTTATGCCAACTTATGAACATTTTAAAGACCTGTTGAAGATGGAATTAAAAATAAATCAACAGGAAGCTTTTTTTCAGCGTGTGCATAATGTACTGTAATTCTAACAAATTGATCAAATACATAACTTTTATTGCAATTAAGACATGAAAAATGTTTCATAAGCTGGAATAAGTTGTCCAGTGTGACAGGGCCTTTAGACAAAATTTTGATAAATCGCCACAAGTTCTCTAAAACCTTATAGTGTGACAGAGTCTTTAGATATGAAAGCAATTTACATATTTTTTTAAATAAAAGCATAAAGTGATTTTTTTTTTACTTTTCAGTGAAAAGTTTATATAGAAAAGTAATGAAGTCAGTAGTGAACTATTTGCTATGCTTCAAAGTGTTTAGAGACCACGAAACAACCATTAGAAAACAAAAAAACAAGATTATTAATCTGAGTGTAAACCACAGTCACTACATCACTTAAAGACTAGACCATAAGATATCATTTTTCCTGGAACAAACTAATTTTATATAAACAAAATAGCCACGTAACTTGTTTAACAAACTGCAGAAAAATAACAGCTTCCTGAATTTTAACAGAATAAATCAGTGCAATGTAGAATGATGTAGAAAACAAAAGAATCTGATTCTAAAGACAAACCAAAWGTATTTTCCAACTCCAGTTGTCATCAGAGAGCATGTCTGCCAGGATAAACATTTTTAGTTATGTGCCATGTAGTATGTGCTATCCTAAACAGCTGTGCCAATAAAATTGTACTAACAACTAACACAACACCAATGTCAAATTCAAAAAAGGGGTCAAGTCAGGTTATAAACAAAACAAAAGAGTTTTTAATAGTGGACTAGTGGACCACACAGGCTTAATGTTTTTTTTCCTGATKTTGGAGACAAATAAAGAACTGCACATTATTTTAAAATGAAGAGATTCGGGGAATGGCTTTGTTGGAAGTTAGTGTCCACAGACAAAAATGAATCTTCAGCATCTGTTCCTTGATTTATGTGAAAGACTACATGCGTAGTCAGATTTATGCAATATGGGTACGGTTGAAGGACGCATACCCGTGTGAATGAGGCTGTGTCTCTCCAGGTGGTAACGCTGAATAAACCTCATGTCACATACGGCACAAGCATACGGCTTCTCCCCTAAACCGAAGAGCACCAGTTTTAGTTTAAGTCYTCCACAGACACCAATTAGCTGTGCGGCAAAGCTACAACCAAACAAGGCTTTAAGCAGGCCATTGCAAAAAGCACACAGCTGCTGCACACTTCTAGATTCAGTCCAACTCAGAAGGTTAAAATCAGGATGTTCTCACAATATATTTAAAATATTCTGCAAATAAAAGCTGCTCTGGCTTCAGTGTGACCTCTGATCTGTTCCAAGCCTTTGCCATACCTGTGTGAATGAGGATGTGTCTCTTTAGGTGGTATCCACTTCTAAATGCTCCGTAACAGTGATCACAAATAAAATTCTTCTGAACTTTGGACGAAGGCCCGTTTTCATCACCACCTGTACCCTAGGGACAACAAGAAACACAAACATTTTGTAATCCATAACAGTGTTTTCTGTGCAGCAAATGTATGCATATGTTAAAAACACAATGGCTCTATTTGTTACGGAAACCTGATCAGAAATGTRAAAAAACTGCTGGGAAATGATTGCTTCTACAGTTAAAATGCATGCTAAGCATTTAATTCTACCTAAATACTCAGTTATGTTTAGTATGAATGACAATAAACTTGGTTTCTGATTATTTAGAAGAGTGTAATTAGTATCTGAATTGAGATATGGACCACAATCCCTTGCAGGGGCCTAATGCCCTCATGTTACTGCTCCCTCTGTTATTCTCACAACAGCAGTTATTGTGCTCCACTTCACTCCCCTCCCCCCTTTCCTCTCCAGAGAACCTCCACCCCCTCCACATCTTTCCTGTGCTCCTCCCCCCACCCCCACACAAACAAAATGAGCACCCACGAATGATCCGAGCCAGCCTCACTTTGATCAAATGAAACGCYGTTAAAACGGTATGCATGAAGACACGAGGACACGCTTATTAAATAAGAAAAACCAAACGGGCAAAGAAAAGCAAACATTCCCAATTTAGAGATTCCAGCTACTGACCTTCCCTCCCCTTCCGTCTTGTTCTCTCACTTTACAGGGCGTTACTGATTTCCTGTTCTTTTTTTTCTGCTGCATGTCTTCGTTGGCCCTCATCTCTTTCTCGTCCAGCAAGCGGGGAGCTTGGAATTCACCTTCCTTCCTGATGAGCTAAAGAGCAGGAGAAACTTAATTATTCCTTTTTTTTCCTGAACTGTCGCCTTCGACACAGTAAACTGAGTCTCCGACCATGACTGAAGTGACCATTTATTACCGTTTTACTCTAAGAAACATCTAAGGACATTTTTATTTAGACACGCTTTAAGTTTGTTGTGTGTTTTTAACCCGATGGAACCCAGACTCATTTCTACTATCATGATTATTATGAAGGTTGTGCATGACAACAAATAGATATGTAACATGCTTCTTAAGTTATTTTAATACCTCCACCCAGTGGAAATGACATATACAGTATGTCACTTGTGGTGTACATAGTAAATATATCATGTTTCATTTAAATAATTTTATAATTTTTTATGGTTATATTTGTTTATATAAAATGAACAGAAAATACACTGCTCAAAAAATAAAGGGAACACTTAAACAACGCACGCTAAGTCCAAGTAAATCAAWCTTTTGTGAAGCACATTCAACTCTGTACAGAACAAAGTACTCAATGCGAATATTTCATTGATTAAGATCAGGAGTTAGCGTGCGTTGTTCAAGTGTTCCCTTTATTATTTTGAGCAGTGTATATTTATCTAAAATAAACAAATCAGCTAAACTGACTAAGCAGATGATTGGTATACAGTATGTCTCACTGTGACAAATATGTCACATGGAATGTTTCAATACAATTTAGAGTTTATTGCTTGAAGAGATATTTATGTCACAGTGATATTTGATAACTTTTTTCTTTACCAAATTGTTTCAGAAATGCTGTTAAACTAGGTTATATATGAAATATGACTTGTTATCGACAGCTGTAAGAGTGAAAACATGACTTTGCTAAGAAAAAAAGTTGATAAAATTAGCTAAGTGGTTACATTAGCTGCCCAGGTGCACAAAGGAGAACTTCAGTACTCAGAGTCCCCCACCCCGGTTACATGACTGAATCAGCATGCTYAGTTGACGTCACTTAGGAACTTCATGCTAAAACTCAAAAAACTTGTCTCATTGTTAAAAGGGGCGGAAACACCAGTGCTAGCTTGGGTCCTTCTTCTTGATTATATTTATTCTGTTTTTATTGATTTTAGTTATTTTGATCTCTGTGAAGCACATTTTACTTAAAAGAATTCAAGCCACTCATTGATTCAGAGGAAAACTGTATTTTTTTCCCCTATCAGCAGCACACTTTAAAATTCCTAATCATTTCCAGATGAGAATAAATATCTACTTTTTAATTGTTGTCTGAGTGACAATCTATGTCAGAAAAATAAAAAACAGAACTAAAAACATGACAACATAATTTTTGACAGAAGCAACTCCCAACAGGTCCAAGCTTAACTGACACTGTGGTTGTTTTATAGGAAGATAAATCTTGTTTGCAATAAAACTTTCACTATTCCACATTTAAGGCTTTGCAGCCTTTACACTGATAAAAAGCGCAGCACTTAAATGCCCCATTTCCACATCACATTTCCCAAGTGGGTGCTAACCAGTGGTGGACAGCTCATTCCAGACGGGAGGATCATATGGCTCTGGGGACCACGGTCAGGTCCCTCTCTCTGAGGTGGTGTGTGGCCAAGTGGAGCCATCATCTTTTTAGGCGGAGCAGCCATTGTACTGGCCTGCATCAGGGCCATGCTGGAGAGGACAGCTTCGCAGCCAAGCAGCCCCGCCTACAAGGGAAAACAAACAAACAAACAAAAAAAAATAATAATTGAAACAAATGCTTTTCAAACCATCTAAATATGCAAAATGATCTGCAATTTGCAAATATCTATGACATAAGTATCAGTGGCATGGTATTGACAAAGGTAGTCATCAACGACAACATCCTGAGTGACAAGACTGCAAGTTAACTTATTTGTAACCACTTTGGTGTTGTCAAAACAAACCCATTTCATATGGTCGCGGACTGAGCTGCTGGGCAGATGTGACATTGCTGTGGGATATGTGAACGCAGGGACAGGGGTGGGGACAAGGTCGTCCAGAGATCCGTCAGTCAGGATGGTCGTCGGGCTGGTGGGAAGCCACACCCACCTCACTCATCTAGTTTAAAAAAACTGAGGAAGAGGAGGATGTGGATGAAACAGACAAACATGGAATGACAGCTGTTTCATTGGCTGACTTTATGGACACACAATACAAAACAAAATGTGTGCACAAGCTTAATTCTAAAAATAGTTTTTTCATTAGGACATCCTTTAGCGACAAAACTGTTTTAACCCATTTTCAACATTTTATTTTATGCAACTCACAGCTATGAAAATTCTCTTTTGGAAATTAATAATTTATCCCCTGGTAATCCAAACTGTTTTTAGACGTTGTCAGACCAAACACCTGAACATTAGACCTAATTTTTACAGGGTTATTTTGTCAAATCATCTCAGTCACCAACTTTGACTGAGGCATGCCTATTAGTCAACCTGAATGTTATGGATAGCCACAAACCAAACAACTTGTGTAAATATTAAGTGKCAATATATAGTCTGTTGGCTTGAAATTGGTTAATTTTGGCTTGTTTGTGATTTTAAAAGAATTTTATATATTTTGTGGTAACTAAAAAGAAACATCTTTAAAATGCTCAAATAAAAGAACAAATTTCAGTGTTTAGAGGCTTAACTTAACTAAAGTTGTTTCATCTGTATAAACATTTTCATTCATACAGAAGCATTTCTGATGTAGTTTGTGAAAAACCTTTTATATCCCATTGCTGTTTATGTTATTTAAATGTAAATGCTTTTTAAAAAGTAAAGAAATTATTTATTTTTGTTGTTTCAGTTGTTTGTTGTGGAGCCTTGTTTAATCATCCAGTCCCYATCTTTTTCTCATGAACAGCAACATAAATTTTCAAATTTTAAGTGAGAAACATCTTTGATCGAAGTACTACAATAATTACGAATGATTATGTTAAAACTTATATCAAATTTATAGAGACCAAGCTTTTGAATTTACTCCAAAGCATCCAAGAAAAACATTTCATTTAATTTGGGTCTCATTTTTTCAGACAATTCAGGCATTTACGTATTTTATTTTAAGAGTTTTTTTGTTTGTTTTTGGTGTGTGTGTGTGTGTGTGTGTGTGTGTGTGTGTGTGTGTGT